GCCTACAGTGGATGCGTCTTATTATGGTGCCAGAGGGCCTGGTGGCATCACCCCGATGGAGGTAACGTGATAATCCAACGCCATCCAAAAGAACATAGAACAAAAGTTTTATGGATATACGCTGAAGCTCACAGCATTCACAGGTTCGCTGGGGTGAGAAGGGCTCTACAGAGGAAGGGGCGCGGTTAGCGAAAGCTAAAAATGCTGTGGTCACAATGCCAGAGGAGGAGTTTGAAGAGCCCGTAAAAAGACCCCCACCCAGACCACCACCAACATATCAGGCCCCAGTCTCAGACAAATGGTACACGCCCATTAAAGTAAGTTTCCTGTCAACACTTTGGCTTTTATTGCTGGACTGTGTTAACGTATGTATTTGTAAAAATACTGTTATGCTTCTGTCTATTTTTCTGTAATGTGAATGTTTTTAGGGGCGTTTTGATGCTGTGTTAGCATTGCTGCGTAGACAATACGACAGAGTTGCTATCATGAGACCCACGGAAAATGACAAGGTACGGTGGCCTTGGCTTATGCAATCTGTATATTATTATAAACAACAAGAAAGGAGCTTTTGTTTTGTATCAATAAATTAATTAATTTTTTCATGTTTTTTAGATTCATTCAGGTAAAGAAAACAGTAAATTGATGAGTTGTGAAGACATACATGGAACGCTATACACAGGGAACAACAAATTTGTGTCATATAAATAGCACTCCACCTACAAAGACATCACTGTACACTTAGTTCTCTATTGCTTTTTAAATTTGGTGTATGTTACTAAGCTAATAGCGTGAGAATATAACAAGCATAAAAATACTTAAAGGGATAGTTCACCCAAAAATGAAAATTCTGTCATCATTTACTCACCCTCAAGAAGATATTTTGAAGATTGCTGGTAATCAAACAGTTGGTGGTTGCCATTGACTTCCATAGTAGGAAAAAAAATATATGTTTAAAAAAAATTTATATTTAAAAAAAAAAGTCAATGGCAACCACCAACTGTTTGATTACCAACAATCTTCAAAATATCTTATTTTGTGGTTAACATAAGAAAGCAACTCATACAGGTTTGGAACGACATGAGGGCGAGTATATTATCACAGAATTTTCATTTTTGGGTGAACTATCCCTTTAACACAAATTTTAAGTGAAATTGTATATGTATAAAAAAAAATTGTTGATACTTTGCATTTATACTTAGTATTTATATTTATATGTATATTTTTAATGGTAATTTCTCTCAGATTAAATTTTTTTTCACTGAGTTTGTCACGGTGCATTAAGGGATTGCTCTTTTTGTAAAGCAATCTGCAATTTGGCAAAATGGGGTACAGTGTCTTAGACAAGTCTACATTACATTCGGATCCAGAAGGTGTTTTCATTTTTAAAAAAACGCTGTCCGTCTATACCAGTATTTTAAAGCATTTTCCAAAAGTTTCTCGTCCCCACACTTAAATGTTGGAAAATGCTTAAATCATCTTACTGTTCGTGCATAAAATGTAATAAAAGCGCACTGAGATGATACTGACAGATCAGGAGTAATAAAGATTTTATGGCATTCTTCTGGCACAATCATTTTATTAGCAAAGTATCCACTAGTTTGTTAGCAAAATATCCAAAATCACCACTTACTGCTGCGTCCAGGTTGCACTCAATCACCATTATATGTTTGGTCTAAAATGCAACTGCCATGTTTAGCCACAGGACGGCAATTGCGAGTACATTTTCTGTCATATTTGCAGGAATGTAATATAAAGATTTGACAAAGTAACATTTATCTTTAGCAACACTGTGAAAGTGAACAGCACATAGCTGGCAAATGCCCGTATAACCACAGAAATCTATAGGTACAATATGCGTCACGATTAAAAGTGCGGCATGGTTTTCAAATACCTTTCATTTTCATAGTCCACACTACAATGCAAATAAAGGTGTTTTGGAGCGTCTTCAAAAAGTTCTGTTTCCGCAGGACAAAAACGGCATCTCTGTGGATGGAAGGCCAAAACATAGAGAACTAGATGCGTTTTAAAATCTCTCCGGATTAATGTAAACGTAGCCTTAGATGGTAGCATAATGTTGCTGCTGATCTGGTCAGGAGCCTATGATGCTTATGTAGAAATCTTACTAGGCTGTAGAACAGAGCCATTGTGTTGCTCATACAACCACTTAGTTCAGTCCCTCGTTTGGTCCGCTGAAAAGGCTCATTAGCACTAATAAGCTGCACAAACGAGGCTGACAGCCCTGTCACAGACAGACCAGATCACACTCTCGTCATACATCTCATTATGGTGGTACATCTGTGTGCGGTGCTCAGACTGGTCATGAACTGACCCTCAAACACACACTCATCAGAGAGGAGTCGTCACTATTACACTGACTGACCTGACTGACTCATGATGTCAGCAGTGTCGAGAGTGACCTCTGACCTCTCACTGATTGCACCGTCACACTTAGTTTGAGTTTAACTGAACGTCCTTCGAGGCACAATGAGAATATTGTTGAAGTGTTTGACTATGGGCTGTAGTAGATCTTTGCACAAATAGTTCATTAATTCTTTTACTAAAATTCCTATTTTTTTCTTAAAAGACAAGAAGTAGATGTAAAGAAAAATCTAATAATAATAATTACAGGGTTATGTAATATTATGTAATGTTATATTAGTATATATATATATATTTTTTTTACATTTTTTCTTATATTATTACTTGTTTCCTAAATTATTATTATAGCAATGCCATTGCAACGCAGTGGCAGGATTTTCATGGACAAGCTCCATTCATTTTCTTCAGAAAATGTGAAAAATATTTTGTATAAAATATTGTTGAGCATGTTTTTTCATGCCAAAGATTCACACTGGCTGTAAATAGAGCTTAATTATTAATACTGGTACCTGTTCTACATTCATGGTACCAGCTCTGTCCGAACAGGGTTTGTCAAGCATTAGTGTTGCTTGATCAACCTGCCTGACCTCCATCATTCCTGCTTCCTTACCACCAATTAAAATCAAACCTCCTCTCAATTGAACTCAATTACTACAAATTATCACACATGCCAGCGTGACAAAATATTGTCAAAACAATTCTTTTTTTTTTACCATATGAGTAGCATTAAAAAAATCCAGTGTGGATGATTTAGCATGAGTTTTGAGTTCATGTGATATGGACTAGTCAGTGAATAGTGGAAGAAAGATCTTTCACCGCAGTCTCAAAATGAGGGCATAGCTAATAACATGAGGAAGAGACATTAGGGGATTTGATTTGTCATATTTCACAATTCATAAGAGATAATGGGGTAAAGAGATCATTGAGATGAATGTGATTGTAAGAGGTGGTGGTGGGATAGTCGGTCCTCCATTATGGATCTGTAATGTAGAGTAACATCATGGTTTTTTGGGTTTTTGTCTTTCAGGGGCGCTGCATCAAATTCACCCGGGTTCAAAGTCATTAACCAAACACAAAGTGTCCTTTACTTTAAAGTGAGTTCTCATCAATTTTAAGATACTATTTGGAAAGGCCAGAAATTTTGATGTAGGATTGACAATATACTGTATATGTCACTTTTCAGGTACGTTCAGACAAGGATTGGGGAATCCACAATTCACTTCTGAATTAAAACCTTTGAGTTTTAAATCTTACATGTATAAATCTATCCTGCTGATTTTTTTTCTGCATGTCTTTGAATATGGTTTTTTAACTTTTTAACAATTAAATTTTTTTTAAGGTTTTCTAGTTACAAATCAATACAGTGCCTTCTTGTGAGTGTATTATGAATGGGTTTGTCAAGGAAAGAAAATGTAAATTATTATTTTTATTTTCATAATTATTTCTTTCATCATTATTAGTAAAGGTGTTAATTATCCCGTGAATTCATGGAGATTTGTATTTAATTATTTGTTCTTATATTTATTTATAACAATTTGATTTAATCAATAGATTACATGTGTGACATTGTTTGTTAATGAAGTAAGTGGCATATAAATCCATTAAAATAAATTATAGTAGTTCACTTATAATTTTTGTGGAAACTGTGACACATTACAATTCAACAGTTAACAGTAATATATATATATATATATAAAGAAATTAAAACTTTTATTCTGAAAGGATGCATGAAATTGATCAAAAGTGACAGAAAAACATTTATAATGTTACAAAAGATTATTGTTGTATTTCAAGTTATTTTGAATTTTCTTTTCATCAAAGAATACTGAAGGAAATATGTTATGATTTCCACAAAAGTATTAAGCAGCAGAAACGTAACTCTATAAAAACTTTATATCAATACAAAGAACAATTAGAATATATCAATAATAAGAACAATTAAGTTCAAATAATAATTGAGCAGCAAATCAGCATATTAGAATGATTTCTGAAGGATCATGTGTCTCTTTTCAGGTAGGCTACATTACATTCATCAGTGGCATTGTGACATTGTTTGTTAATGAAGTAAATGGCATCTAAATCCATTAAAATAAATGATAGTAGTTCACTTGTGAGCGTTTATGATGTAATGATTGTTAGTCTTTGAAATGTAACAGCCTGTATTACCTTAAAAATTTAATGTCAAATGGTTAATTTATGAGTTGATACTATGAACAATAAATTCTTGACATGATTACTCAAATGGTCTGATAGAATATGTGATTATATGGAGATTAACGTCTGACAGTGAAAGATCACAGTTAGTATGAAACAATTAACAGACTGTATAATGTCTGATTATAGCATTTTACAATGTCTGGTTATTCCAAATTATAATCTTAATCTCTTATATTATGAGAGATCATTTTGCTGAAAAGTAAAAGGGTTATTGAGAATCAGACACGTTATTTAAATATAAAAAATTATATACGAAATGTTAATTTTATGTAACATGTAACACATTACGTTTTTTTTATATATTGTTTCATTTCTTTGCATAAAATGCTTTTTTCCATCAAATAAAGCCATCATTCATGAAGCGAGAGTGACGTGCCGTCGCATTGTGTTGTCTGTCGCAGGATTTTTATGTCACGCACTCGCTTCTTTAGGCTTCTTTAGCTTTTAGCTGGACGGCTAACCGGTGGTCATCAACATGACGCTCATATTCTGATATTAAACAGAAATTAAGGAACAGACAGGGCTGAATGGGATAGACGGCAGGCCTTTACCTGGAGGTGAGAGGTTTGCCGTCCTTACACTGAGATCTAACGGATTAAAAAACTTAATCTAATCCTCGTTAGAGCGCAGTTAGCTGCTCCACATCAGCGGCACAAACAAAACATTTATGCATGTTCGAATCTGTAGTGCGATAAACGGCAATGTATTGCTTGTTTGGTTGTGTTTATGATATATTAGCTTTCAGGAAAATATAGACTTTTGTATTTGAATGTATCTTACCAGCCATAGATTTCAATATATGAAAAGCTAGTTAAACTCGAACAGGAGCACAATGTGTCCTAGTTGAAATCTAGACCGTTATCTCTAGGGCTTTTTGTTGGAGCTGGTTTTAGGCTTCCATTAGCTGGGTTTCCATCACCCTGCTTTTATGCGCATTTTGAAGTATCGCATCAGAATCGAGTGATGGAAACGCTGAATTTCGAATAAAAATGCCTTGATTCGCAAAAATGTTTTTACGCTCGCTTGAGGTGGATTTTGACGAATGCATTTTGCGAATAAATTCCTCCAAGCGCGTCTAAACAAGTCATGTGACTTTGCGCTATGGGACGTCATAACCTGACTAACCAGCGAACAGCAGCATCCACCTCCGAAAGCAATGACCGCATTCATTGCGTTTCGTCTGCCATTGCGTTTCGTCTGCTCGCTCTGAGGCGCAAGTCATTTATTATATATGAAAATTATTATATTATCCTACTTTTCTTAGTGATTTATAGTGCCAGATTATTAGGAAGTGACGATTTTGTTGTATAATGTATGTAGTACAGTGCCACAATCAATCAATCAATCAATAATTGAATAAAAGTTTTCAGTACAAATTAGCACAAGTCAAGCTGCGTTATTACCAAACAAGACCACAGGGAGACGCCAAAGACCACTAAATCACCTGCCTACTATACGGATCCATTCAGTATCGCTAAATCTCTGACCACCGCATAATCAGCGTTCATTATAAAACACTCTTGCGTTTAAGCCAAATACACGCTGAAAATAATAATTTTGCTGACATCTGGACGTAAGTCACTATTCTTCCCGCAATCGCTGATGAAATCGGCCGTGTTTTCTCTGCATTAGGCTGTTTTGAACTTACTGTTTGAATTCGTTTACTGGATCCTTGGACGGTTTAAAATGATGTGATCGCAAAAGCCTGCTTCTTTTAGTTTTAAGATATTATTTTCGTTATAAAGTACTGATTCAAATTAGTAATCAATAATTAATTATTATTCTACTACTCCCCACACACTCCGCTTGCATTCATGCACGTGACTGGTCGAGATGAGAGGTGATCCCGCCTGGGTAGTGTGATTTATATAGTGTCCTTTCTAATCATACCTGATTAGACCCTGACGCTTTTACTCTGAGTACCAGCAACATGTCAGAAGTGCCGGTACGCACAAAAAAGTGCAGGGGACTCTAAAGGCTAAAATATAGAAGTGCGTATAGAATACTGCGTACCCAGGGCCGCATTAAGACCTCAATGGGCCCCGGGGCTATGACTTACTGCAGGCCCCTACGTCACAATAATGATATAACTTAACATAGGATTTTTATCCAATCAAAGTTTCATAATTCTTGTTACCAATTCCAATATCTCAACAACAAAAAAATACTAGCCTATGTAAAAACAAACTTACTGAAGACAAGTAAACCGTCATGAATTACAATAGAACAAAGAAATTGACCTACAAACACTTAAAGCACTGAATAAGAAATATATTGTATAAAATAAATAGACTAGAAATAGACTGAATAGTCTTCACTGTATAAATTCACATTCTGTTACACCAAATACACCAAATAATGATATTTAAAAAAGCATCATATGACCCTTTTAATCTCTAATGGTAATGCATGGAATTTACCGGAAAACTCCACTAAATAATAGCGCTAAAAAAGTGAGGGACGTGGTGGGTTTTTTGCGATCGGCGCTACCGACGTCCGTCAATCTACTCCACAGCCAATCACGGGCCCCCTCCTTGCTCGGGCCCCGGGGCTTCAGCCCCGCCTAGCCCAATGGTTAATGCGGCCCTGGGGCTGATACTGTGTGCATAGGGAGCTCGCTCTTTTGAGACAGCCACAGTGTTTTATTGAAACGAATGAGACGTGCATCTGCTTTGCTCCTCCAGCCACATGAACCAAGATGCCTCAGAACATCCTCAAGAGCACTCATTACATTGAGCTGGGCAGTTATCAGTACTGGCCTGTGCTTGTGCCGAGAGGGATTCGATTATACACCTATGAACAGATCCCAGTGTTTCTGAAGGAGAATCCGTACATTACAGATGGATACAGAGCACACCTGCCATCCAAACTGTGCCTCAAAAGGTGCGTTTCTTTCCCTTTTGATAGTGTAGATGTGTTGCCATTCGTTTACTCATTATTTCTCATATCCCACAGCATATTCATTCTGTCCAATGAGACGGTGAACATCTGGAGTCATCTGCTTGGGTTCCTGCTGTTCTTCTCGCTGGGAGTGAATGACATGGCCACAGTCCTGCCGTCTGCAGGGGCGTCACGAGAGGACTATGTCATTTATTCAATAGGACTGTTTTGTTTTCAGGTAATGCATAAAATGAGCGGTGGGAAATTTTTACCTATATTTCTATTTATGCGCTTTGACAGAGCTTAGATAATCATGTGTAATACACAGGAACAAATAAGTATTACATATTAATTAATGGGTTTTTCTTTTTTTATTCTATTCTATGGTCAGGTTTGCATGCTGTGCTCTGTGGGCTATCACTTGTTCTGTTGTCATCGCTCGGAGAAGACGTGTCGCCGCTGGCTTGCTCTGGACTATGCTGGAATATCCGTGGGGATTTTGGGATGTTATGTGCCTGGAGTCTTCTATGCCTTCTACTGCAACAGTGTATGACAGATGTGTTTTATAAGAGCGGACTTGAAGTATGAGGATTGATGGTTTCTTTTTTTTTTTTTCTTTTTTTATTTAAATGTTTTATTGTGTTAATGGACTAAATTTAGTATTCATTGTGATGATATTATTATAGTTTTTATTAATATAATGAATCTTTTTTTTATTTTAGATTTACATTTAAATTTTTATTTAAAGTTTTTTTTTTTTTTTTTTTCTTGAAAGACAGAAAGGCTGCATTTATTTGATAAAAAAAACAGTTGGAACAGTAATATTGTGAAATATAATTACACTTTAAAGTAGCTGTTTTCTGTGTGAATATATTTTAAAATGTACATTATTCCTGTGATCAAAGCATCATTAAGCATCATTTCAGCATCATTACTCCAGTCTTCAGTGTCACATGATCCTCCAGAAATCATTCTAATATGCTGATTTGCTGCTCAAGAAACATTTTTGTGAAAACTGTGATGCACTACAATTCAAAAGTTAGCGGTAAGATTTTGTTTAAAAAAAAAATAAAGAAATTAAAACTTTTATTCTGAAAGGATGCATTAAAGTGATCAAAAGTGACAGTAAAACATATTGTTACAAAAGATTATTGTTGCATTTCAACTTATTTAGAATTTTCTCTTCATCAAAGAATACTGAAGGAAATATGTTCTGGCTTCCATAAAAGTATGAGCAGCAGGAACTTTATAACTCTACATAAAAACTGTATAGTACTGATAATAATAAGAACAATTAAGTTCCAATAATAATTGAGCAGCAAATCAGCATATTAGAATGATTTCTGATGGATCATGTGTTAGTGAATACTGGAGTAATGATGCTGAAAATTCAGCTTTGCATCACAGGAATAAATAACATTTTAAAATATATTCACTCAGAAAACAGTTATTTTAAGTTGTAACATTTCAGAATATTACTGCTTTTACTGCATTTTTAATCAAATAAATGCAGCCTTGGTGAACTTAAGAGTCTTCTTTCAAAAACATTAAAAAAAAAAACTTAATTATTCCAAACTTTCAAACGGTAGTGTATATATTATACATATTTATTTGTACTTATTCATAAATATATTAAGATCTTAAAGAAATAATTAAAGAAAGAGTCTGTAGTAAGATCATGTTTTGCTTGTACATGGCTTTAAAAGCTTTGTTTATGTAGAGATGGATATGGTTATCTGATTTAAGTATGAATATAGATTTGAGTATCAATCAATTTTTTGATATCCTTTGTGGATGTAGTAACACATGACATTTGTTTCAGTTTTGGAGGCAGGTGTACCTGCTGACGGTGCTGGCGCTCATCTTGGCTGTGTTTGCGGCTCAGATTCATCCGCTCTACCTCACACAGCAGTGGAAGAAACTGCGCTCTGTCATGTTCTGCTCTGTGGCCGTATACGGCATCATCCCAGCCTGCCACTGGGTCTGGATCAATGGAGGATTTGACTCTGAAATCGTAAAGGTGATATATCTGCTTGTTGCATCATGTATTATTGGAGACACTGTGAGGAGGGAAATAGCAAAATATCACTTCTACCAGTGAAGGTTGTGCTATTATTAATACCAAACACTTTATCTCTTTGCAGGTGTTTTTCCCTCGAGTCATGATCATGTATTTGATTGCCGCCTCAGCATTCCTTTTCTACGTCAGTAAAATCCCAGAACGATACTTTCCAGGTGAATTGTCTGTTCTAAATTGCTGTATTTTATTAAAGGAATAGTTCACCCCAAAATAAAAATTTGGACAGGACATCCAAGATGTAGATGAGTTTGTTTCTTCATCAGAACAGATTTGGAGAAATGTAGCATTACATCAGTTGTTCACCAGTGGATCCTCTGCAGTGAATGGGTGCCGTCAGAATGAGAGTCCAAACAGTTGATAAAACATTACAATAATCCACAAGTAACCCACACCGCTCCAGTTCATCAGTTAACATCTTGTGAAGCCAAAAGCTGCGTATTTGTAAGAAACAAATCCATCAAGGCGTTTTAACTGCATATTTCTCTCCTGATTCAGATGCAGTATTATGGATAGAGGACTTGTATTTTAGCCAGAAGCAATGATTTGAAGTTAAAAACGTCTTGATGGTTTTGTTTGTAGATTATTGTGATGTTTTTATCAGCTGTTTGGACTCTCATTCTGACGGCACCCATTCACTGCAGAGGATCCACTAGTGAGCATGTGATGTAATACTACATTTCTCCAAATTTGTTCTCATGAAGAAACAAACTCATCTACATCTTGGATGATCTGAGGGTGAATACAACTATTTCTTTAATTTAAAAAAATCTTTCACCCTTCTTTTCAACCCACATATTTAAAAAAAAAAAAAAAAAAAACTCTTTAAATGCTGATGTTAGATTTTAAGTTGTTAAAAACTATCAAATCCAGATCACCAATCTAATTCTGGTTACATGTTGTGCTTTTTTTTTTATGAATCGTATTGAAATCTAATCAAATAAAATCAAATTGTGACCAAATTAGTCAAGAATCACATTGATACATTGTCAGAACAAATATTTACCCACATTTTTATGTCTGTCCTCACAGGCCAGCTGAACTATCTTGGAGCCAGTCACCAGCTCTGGCATGTGCTGGTGGTGGTCATGTTCTACTGGTGGCACCAAACCGCTGTCTACATCATGAAGTACAGACACAGTCAGCCCTGCACAGACTACAGCAGTCATGGTTAAACGCTGTTATAAAATCATCTGAGCCATTTATGTTCAACTAATTCATTTGGTTTTTGTTTGGCATTATTTTAAGTTGTGCTAATAGAATCAAACAATGAAACTTTTACCTCTCGTTTGCCTTTGAACACCCTACTGTAGGGTTACGTGCAATGAAAATCACGTTTCGTGCAATCAGTTGAGTTTGTCTGCCTGAACAAATGCTTCATACATATTCTCTGCTGGATATCAAGTGTCTTTGTCTGTTACTTTATGTATTTTGTTTTTTATTGAGCCTTTTTCCCGTTGTATCATTGGAGTTGTGAAACTGTATGCTGTTAATATGTTGCCTCACTTCTCTGGAATGTCATTAATTGAAATGCTCTTAACTATCACTGTTCTGTGACTGATGAATTCTATGATAGAGGATAATACTGTAATTTTGCGATTTTTTTTATTTTTTATATTTGTTTGGTAAAGGGAGTTGTTTTGATGTATTAAACACATTTGAGTTCATGTGTAAAGCATCACTGGGAACTGGGCATTTAAATGACCAAGGAAGCATTACTTCAGTATTTTATGTGAACAATGGGTCAAAATCACTATATTTGCACTGAATTGATTATGAACATATATCGAAAAAACCTTTTGTGTTAATGTTTCTCTAGCTCATCTTTTTATGACTTCTGTTGGTGGTTTGATTTTCTCTATTTGATTATTTGGAATAATATAAACTGCCTGAATTAATATCTATCTGAATGGTGAAACTGAATTTTAAAAAATCCTGTTTGAACCCGTTGTGTGTATTTTAGTCGTCAAAAGTAAATTCGTCAGGGTCATTTCCAGCTGTTATTTCCGGGTTTTCTGCTTTGTTTGAAATTATTTTGTTACCTCTGAAATGTCAGTTACCTTATTTAGTGAACAAAATATTTAATGTAGAAAAACGTGCCGTGGAACTGGCAGGAAATCATTATTCCGTCATGGCGTTTTTATAAAGTAATATTTAAAACACTCAAGACATAAACATATTTCCTGTACGATTAATTTGTAACATTTCGAGTAAAAAAAAAAAAAGTAAAAACGTTTTGTAGCGTGTCAAAACTTCAATTCACTCCAAATGTTGAGTTGTTGAACGATTCAGTCGAACTCGTGAAAGAATCGGTTCAATAGACTCGAAACCAACAGAACGAATCCGACTTCCCTGTACAATTGAATCTCAGAAGTACTGTATTCAGTATACTCTATTTTACAAGTTATTGCTTAAATATCGTAATCTTTCAGGACAATGAGTGTTTTTCTGTATGCCATTTTAAAGTTGACCTTGTTCCATGCCTTTAATCCCTTAATGATGCCAAATGTCTCACGTTATGGATTTATGACATAATAAAAGAGCTGAATTGTCTTAATCGTATTCTGAAATCTGTTTTAATCCTACTGTTTTGTTCTACTCTAGTGGCATTAGGGATTTTCCAGGGCATTGTTCTTTTCCTGTCTGAAGACTAACTGAAAAGAGAGAATGTGGTTTAGAGGTCAGGTTTTCTTGACGAGTAAATGATGACAGCATTTTCATTTTTGGGTGAACTATCCCTTTAAGTAATAACAGCTGTATATTATGAACAGTAATTAAGATGATCTGTGAGTTTTCAATTCTGCAGACTGTTTTTACACATGCTCATGTTTAATTAGGACATGAATTTCAATAAAAACCCAAATTACAGTATGTAAAATCAGTTTTCATTGCATAAACAGTTATTTGCTGCTCATAATATTTCATCTTGCTTTATTACCAAGTGTAATATTAGCACATTCTCAAGCTATATCACATGAGAATGATTTTCCCTCATCCAAAATCATACTTCAGGGCCTCAAATCACTTCACAATCTGTCGTTGTGACCTCACAGATGCTCCATAGCAAATTAAAACACGTTTCAAGTCTTATCAGTGGTCCTTATTGGTGAAAGCGGCTAAGAATCTTTTGTGGGTTTTAGCAGCATCTGCGAACATCACTTTCTCACGACAATCTGCATTGTTTTGGGGGATTAGATATTAATAATTTCCAAATGAGGATGAAAGTCTAATTTCTGCAGCAGAATTATGACCAAACGTCGTCCTAATTCTGGTTTTATATACTTATGAGCGAGTGACAAGGCAAAACGAGCAGTCACGTAAATGCTTGTCCCACTGAAATCCCAAGAGATTTTAATTGTTGAACAATTTGCTACCAAATACATGTACTTCACTGCCACCTGCTGGATCAGGAACAAAGCTACACATCGAAGACCATCTCAAAACGCAAAATGGCATGGAAAAAATGTCAGCTATTCATTCACTATGTAGACATAATGTGTAATAAAAATTTGACAAATTAAAGTGTAGTTTCTGATTCTAAAAATATTTTATGTTATACTAGGGTTATTCTAAAACCAAGTATACAAGTTATCTATGATTTTAAAAAATCAAGCTAGTTCAAAAATACATTTCATAAAGCTCTTCTGATTTATTAATAGTATTGTAATTGTAATAAAAATGATATTTGGACATTCTTTCACATTATAGCACTTCAGCGGTGATGAATTCTTTGGCAGTGGATACATTCATTTTCCATCTTCACCACAGATCTTCAGCAGGGTTTGACAAAAATCCCCTGACGTTTCAGACTACAATAAAGATATAAAAAGGACATCATTAATGTGACTACTGACATTAAACCTCATACTGCACTTGCTAAATATTGAGAACCTTTATTTATTTATTATTTAGAAATATATTGATTATCTTTGTTAAAAGCACTTGTTTTAGTGTGGCAAAAATGAAGAGACTTGAGGGCAATAGCAACTTCATAGTAAACTAGGAACAGTAATGTATGGAAAGGGAACAAACAAAGAAACATGACTGCTTTAAAGCAGCAGATCTGTTATTACAATGGGCTTGTCAGGTCACAGTGCAAAGCGTGTTTGATGGTCTAGAGAGTATGTAGAGGCACACACGGTCCAAAGAATGCTGCAGTACAATGTTAAACTCTCATGTGTTTTCCCATTTGGTTTTACGCTGAACCTCAAGACAAATCGGCACGACTTTGGATGTTGTCATGCAGTCAACTGAATTAACTAAATTCAATTTATGAACCTCTTCAAGATGCATCAATGCAAGTCCTCTGGGAAGATCCTACTATACGTGTTCAGAAGTCATCATCTTTACGAGAGACTTTGTTCAGAAAACAATGGACTTGCTTTCAAATTTAGGCTAATTCTTCCTTTTTCACTTTTTGACAAAGATGGGATGCTTTTTGGCTTTTTTGTAAGCAAACTGAGAAGTAAAGGATGTGCATTAGTGTGCAACTCATGCTTTTCTATGCATTTTACAATTCTTGTGCAGCCACAGAGAATGATGGTAAATGTTTCCCATCATTAACCTCTTAAACCCGCTGAGTGAGCAGTGAATTCTGACCAGCTGAATCACTATTCTTTATTAACAGAGCACACAATTCATGTAAACTAAACAGTCAACACAATTAAAACTTGATTAGTTGTCCTCCATCATTATTTTTTCACTGACACGCCCCAACTCAGATAAAGAAAATCCAGCCTCCCTCTGGTAATCACAACATTACAGTGGTGTTCATGTGAACTCAGTTTGAAAATATGATGATAAACACATGACTTGAAGGCAGCTATAGCCAAGAGAGCACACACACACACAAGGCCCTTCCTACAGGGTGGGGCTAATCACCAGTCCCGCCCACTGAAGATGTCAATCATTTCATCTGCAAATCACCATCAGACACTGGTCAAGGTTACTCCCTACCTCACACTTTAACCAGAGCCGTTCAGATATTACTGAAGGTGTACATCAGATAATGCAACAGGGTCTTGTTACAATCACATTAATAGGAGCAGAAAAGGATTTTGAACAAAGCCTTAGAATCTAGATTTTCTAGGTTTGATGGAGTATGTTTTACAAGATAATACTAGTTGAGTCTTTCTACTTCAAAATGTCACATTTAATTCAATGTGTTACTTGACAATTCTTTGTGAAGTTTACCAGCACAAGCAATTTCCTGGCAAATGTTTCTACACCACATTTTTTCAGTAGACAAGTTCTCATTTAATACTTCTTACCTCAATGTCAGAGTATAAAGAAGTGCCAAAGAGCTTCTTATATTCTGCCTTGATGTCCTGCAGATCAACCTCTGAACGGCTCACTATGATTCTAGTTAAGGTAGATTCAGTGGTACCAGCACCCTGACAAAAATACAAATGTTTCTTATTCAAAAATAGTCTGCTTATAGAGTCATTGCAGAATCATGCTTCACAGTTTTAGACATTTCACTGTACATCATTTTTGTAATATGACAAAATAGGGGAAGTGAATACAGAAAAACAGTTCTAACCTTCATGCTTTTATACAGACGCTCTGCGAGGTATGCTGGAACGCTCTTCACACATTTCACTAAAGCAGAGTCATTTTCAATGAGATTTTTCAAGTAGAAAATGATACAAAATAAAATAAAAAATGTATTACGTCTAAAAAAATTCAAATTAAATTGTACACTTTTAAAAGAACTTATAAGGAATAGTAATTGCCTTAACAAACACTTAATAATCACCTATAGCCACCAGAATCTCCTCCAGTCTTCCAGACACCTCTCGTTCAATGCTTTCCTGAAGAGTCTTTCCGCTCAGACTCTTATACTCAACCAGAGCTGAGAGATAAAGATTGAAACACATTTCACACACAGGAACACTGATCATCACTCAGTGGCTTTAAAACTACAGTTCCATACAGTTCTTATACATTAAGTTTACAGTTCTTTCAGAATTATTACAAAATAGTATAGAAAATGAGGGATATGAAACTAAGCCAGCAGATGGTACTTTGTCTGAGCTGAGGAACGCTCCTGTGGCAGAGGATGTCAATAAACTTGCTCTCGTCTGTTCCCCACGTTTTCTCTCCTGCCTCGTACAAGATCTGCACAGTGGGAATAATAGAAGATGATGTTTTGAAGAATTTTGGTAAGAATGTTAAACTCTATGAACAAAAACACAATGGAAGTCAATGGGATCTTCTTTCATGTTCTGCAGAAGAAATACAAAGTTCTGTCATGAAACTCTAGATGGCGCAGGCCGGTAGGTTCTAACTTAAATCTAATATAATCACATCATTATTCACATGGCACAGCTGATTGGTTTCTTTTCACATCAGCAGCCAATGAGCTTGCTGCTCAACATTCAAATACTAGGCTAGTGCTTGCTGTTGCAGTTGCAGTGCGCTTCAGAAACCCTCCACCTTCCCCAGCTCCACCTGTATAGATCTGCTACAGGGTAATTTCATGTATGTTATGCATCGGCAGTAGCAAGTCTCGGTACTTGCTCTGCCACAGCAGCTGCATAGCAGAGCTATACCTCCAAGACCAAACACATTAACATTGCCATGTATATTACCATGCTAAACTCTTCAAGAGTTGTCAACTCATACAGGTTTGGAACGACATGATGGTGAATAAATGATAAAAGACTTTTCATTTTTGGGTGGACTGTCCCTTTAATAAACAGGCATACATGCGCAGAATAACTGAAGTATGTTTAGTTTTTTCATTCGATTCTTTTAGCGGAGTTTGATTGTACTTATGTATACACCTAATAAAACATCAGCAATAGTGTTTTCACTTCACCTTGGCATCCTCTTTAGCTTTTGCCATGTCGACATTTGTACTTTCATCCCTCTTGCCCTTTTAGTTAGAAAGACCAACATATTGTAAGTGAGACAACTGCATCGCTCATTTGAATGAATTTAAATATGATGCAGGACCAAAAAAAACTGATTTGACTGAACCTCAGCAAGGATCAACAAGGTCTTTTCAAAGTCCCCTGACACTTCCGATTTCAGGTCGTGAATTAGAGCTCTTCCAGTTTCTGGAAAACAGACAACATTTAAATGAGATCCAAGAGTCAAAGAACCATAACAATGTTGTGAAAGATATTTTTAAGGTGATAAAAAATGAAATAAGT